AAGGAGGGACACAAGTTTAACTTGCAAACCCTAAACCCCCAGGAGCCGAAACTCGAAATCCAAAGCCAAAACATCCCAAAACCGAAGTCCTAAGCCCAAAGTTTCAGCATGATAAGCCCAAATACCAAATCCAAGGTTCCAACCTGATCCCCTTTTGAGCTGCACATCTTCAGACCAAAATCTGGAAATCCCTTGCGTGTCAAGTCTCGGCCAGGAGAAGGAGCTGCATGGCGCAGTTGCAGCCGTGGCTCAGCCCACTGGCATCAGCACTGCCCCCCCTCCTGCAGGGCTTTATAGGGCTCGAGGGTAGGGTTTAGCCGTTGAGCTCATAAGTGTTCGGTTCAGGCATAATTAAGGTTTAGGGTCTGGGGACTTTGTAGAGCTCAAGGCTTTCGCAGAGTTTTCGGGATTCACGGGCTTACTCGGCTGTAGGGGTTCAGAGAAGCCTCAAGCTTTAGTGGTCGGGCTCTTTGTTCGGACAAATGAACACTGACACTCCGAATCCCATGTTTGCAATCTGAGCTCTAAACAGCAAAGAGTTCCGAGTTCTCCAAACTCCAAACCAACAGTCTTACTGTCGCAGCGGGGCCGCTTAGCTGGCAGAAGCTGTGTGCGACCAACTGCATGCCAGTGCCATAGGCACCAGAAGCCTGCAAGTGGTTTTCAAAGAGTACCGTTTGAGGCCACCCTAAACCCCAAACCCTAAACCCTAAACCCTAAACCCTAAACCCTAAACCCTAAACCCCAAACCCTAAACTGTAAGGAGTTCGGGCTTGAGGGATGCAAGCAGCATGCACGCAAGCTCTCTTTCAGGGCGACGAACAGCATTCGAAAAACATGTCGCACAGAAGAGGGTTCGTGTACAAGGTGTCCCTACCTCAAAGCCTACATTGCGACATCCCGAGAGCCTACATGCCTAACACCAAAACCGGACATTTGCAACCCTAAGCTTCATTTGATTGCTACACCCGACATCCCTGGTACCTGCACGGCCACTGTTGCTTGGTCTCGGCTGACATGTGGCAGGAGCTTTCTCATGCACGAAACGTCCGGCCTTCCTTGGACTTGGTCGGAGGTACCGGGCTTGGGGGTTTGGAGTTTCGGGGTTGAGAGCTTATCCGGGTGTTGAGGGTTCAGAATTAGTGATTAGGCATCGGGGTTCACGTTCCGCAGTTCTTTGCAGTTTTATGGGTGTCTGGCGCTTGGGACTTGGGGTATAGGTTGCAACTAGAACTTATCAGTGCTTGCGCTCCATGATTCCATCAAGATGCTGGAAGTGTCAAATGGCTCCAGTGCATCGGTTGTGCCATTCTGGCTCGGGTGTTGCCATCGGGTCTTAGCATGTCTGCGAACGTTTCTATGGGTCTTTGTCTATGAAGCCTTCTGCTTGGAGGTCGAATTAACTCTGGGCTTCCGTGTCTTTGGCATTCCGTGTGAGTCGAAGGCTTAGACTGTTAAAACTTGGGGAGTTTATGGGCCTTTGACCTTTGAAGCCGTGATCCCGCGCAAAGGCTTGCAAACACAACTGTAGCCCCAGATATGGAAGTTGCTTATGTCAGAGCTTGGATCAGGAGGCATTGGGGCCTCTGTCGGGTTCCGGCAAAACAGCAGTCAGGGTGAACCAAGGAAGCAGAACTCAAGAAATTGCCAGCTTGATGTGCCAAGTCTCTAGCGCATGGAACTTGAGTCCATCGCGGGTCACTTCAACTTGGTCTGCTAGGCCTTCATAGCCGACCATGTGCAGCTGCTGCCTAGGTTCAACTACCAGGGAATTGGTGAACTTTTGGGTTTGGCAACGCCTTGGTACACAGAGCCGGGCAGAAGGCTCAGGCGCAGTTCCAGTGCACAAAGACTGGCAAGGCCAAATGGTAGCAGAAGTGGGCAAGGACAAATAAAGCTCGGCGAAGCGAGAAGGCACCATGTCATCAAGCTCTGGGATGGGAGCTGAAAGGATATGGAACCAGCGGCTTAACGTGCTCATGTGGCTTGGCCTGTACAGGGCAGGCCGCAGAAGCAGCAAATGTTCGGCACCACCCTGAAGCAAAGACCTAACGGACCTGCGAATCAAGCTGCAAGGGCTGCAATGGACCATCGCAGGCTTCAAGCGGCCTCTTGCGGAATGTCCCGCTTGCGCATACTTCCAAGACCATGACGAGCCTTGCCACGCACCCCCAAAGCTACGCCTCGTGGGAACCGAAACGATCTACACCTCAAAGCTTACTTTCGCAAAGAACGACAGAACCCGTTCTGGAATGAGAGACGGGTCAATCCGATGTGAGATGCTCTGACTGGAACCTTGCCAGGGGAAGCCCGTCAAATCTCCTGCAAGAGACACGAAGAAGGCAACGCCCCTGTGGCTTTGGGGGGCTCGTCCGGAGATCTTTGGACGTTTTCGGGAACACCAGCTGAGCAATAAAGCTCAGCGTGCATCCGTAGACCTAACTGCCCAAAGCTCCGGCATGGTCCTTCTTTGACACAAGGGGCTGTCGATCTCGGAAGGCATCGGCAGAGGGCCTGCACTTGAGGCCAAGTGCCCAGACCTGGCTGCGGTGCAACCGTTTAGGGCTTCAAACTGCATGAGGCTGCTAGGCCACACCACTTGCTCTGGTCCGAAGCGTGCACCCACACGGTGTCCCTCCCAACTGTCCATGAAATTTAAATGCGAACGCGAAGCCTTCGTAGCCACGTCCAGTAGGACAGTGCAAAGCTTGAACTGAAAGCAGCAAAAGGTGAGTGGAGTAGGCAGTATCTGTGGAGAACGGCGCTGCAGGGACCAGGAGCTTGGCTACTCGAAGGACAGGCTCCGGCAGGGCGGGATATTGGCCTAGAATTTAAAGCTTGCGCATGAGTGGACAACAGCAGGAGATTCGGTCGACCATGCTTCTGCCGAGCACACGTCGTGGGAAGCCGTCAATGCGTTCAGGAGATGAAGCGGGAACCATGCACCCTTTTGGAAGCACAAGCCCCAAGTCACTCAGACCCAAAACACCCGGACACACTTGGTGTTTGCATTGGACCGTATCGACGCTGTAGTGAACTACTGAGAACCAACTTCGTCCCCATACCAGTATTCCACTGCTATCTGCAAAGGCCCCTGCACTCTATCTTCTCTGACTTGTCCGCTCCGGGTGCCGTAGCTGCCGAAGAAGTGTAGCAAGTGCCCGGCAGCACAGCAGTTTGGCATCATCGGCAGTGCAAGGAAGGTTTGCCAGGCCAAGCGCTTAAGCCCTTGGTTGGGCCATCTTAGGGTATCCTGTAGTATCGTGTAAACTGTGGCTGACAAGTTCGACGAGGCTCTGGATGCCGGCCGCCGGGAGTGTATTTCTTGGGGGCTTCGTCAGCCTGGGTGTCGGTTTCAGGAGGCCGCATACACGCGAGGACTGGCTTGTCACAAAGAAGGGCTTTGCAAGGAAGCCGCTAGTCACCCGTTCAATCCAAGCAAGCGCAGGCCGAATCGTGTCCAATGCTGGTGTTCAACTCATTGCCTTTAGCGCTTGTGACGAGGCTTTTTCCGGCTATAATGCAGTGGGCACGAAGGATTTTGTGGCGTCGTGGCTCGAAGACTAAAACATCCTCAGCGCGCGTCGGGCATCCGACAAGTCGATCCTGACCCAGTGGAATACTGATCACCGTTGGACACCCCTTCTACGGTTTAGGCTTTAGTTCAGGGTTTAGCCTCCCCCTTGTCAGGTTAATGCCGACCCCTGCAGCGACGGCTTCGTCAGAGACGGCAAACCTCAAGAAGGCTTCCGGACGATTCTCGCTGAGCCGCCTTGCAGTGCTGAGTTCAAGCTCGCGGTCGGAAGACTAGGCCCCTTCGAACCTTAACACCTGTGCAGGCAACCTGCTTGGGCTTCTGAGAACATCTACCTGATCGCTGATTGCTTTTGAAGAGGCAGCTTGATTCTTGATGCAAAGAGGCCATAGCCAACGCCAGCACATGGCTGCGCAACAAGCGGAGGAAAGGAAGATCTGCCCATCGACTGCAAAAATGCACAAAACCAACCCGGCCTATCACCCAATCGCACGCAACGCCTGAAACCATCGGGCGGCCAACTTGAACACTTCAGCGCTGAGGGGACAGTACGACAACAGAGCTGCGCTCGGTGTTGGTACCGGTTTTCGCGGAACAGGATCGATGCAGAGGAGGCCCCCGCAGTCGCGTCAGTGTTGTGAAGCATCGGGGCCATGAGGCCGCAAGTTTCGGGGCCCTCTTTCTCGGAGGGCTCGGACGAAGAGAGGGCTGATGCTTTTGAAAACATCTGGGGGAGTGGTGGTGGCGGCGGGTACCCATCAAACCAGGGTGACTCCAACAGAGGTTCCTTTTTTTCGAAGGAGCTGAAGTCTATAGACATGGAGGGAAGGCTGCCTTCGGACTCAACACGCATCGAAACCGCACTCAAAATCCTCAACGTCTGCCTCATGCACCCGGCATGTCTGCCTGGAAGGAAGCTTCAACCAGTCCTCTGTCCAATCCTCCATCTTATCACGCCACTCCGATGGATCTTTTTCCGGTGACATCTCTACCCACTGCACTTTCTGATGGCCCCCGTCCCTCTCAGCCTTGGGTGGGCCCGTCCTCTTACGCTGGGTTAAGGCGGTAGGAAGCTCAGGGCTGGAATTGCCAGCCGAAGGCGTCAGAGTACGAGTTTCGATGGGGCCATGGACTTGACAGTCGGCAGGGCTCATGGTTTTGGAGATTGAGGGCTTTGGGCATTCAGGGTTTTCTGGGCCTTAGGGTTTAATTGTAGGGATGGGTTTGGGGCACCTGGGAGTATTGCAGTAGGACGTATAGGGTTTAGGCTCGGAATGCGTCTCAGCTCTGAAGGATCACCGAACATGGGCTCAGGCAGAACATCAAGCAAGGAGCCTCTCCAGCGGCTCTAGCGTGGTGGACTCGAGCCGAAGGAATTTCGGAAGAACACGGACGGTCTGCCGACATCACGGGGAGCATGGAAGCACAAAGGATGACAAAAGGGTCGGTACCCGAACTCTCAGACTGTGGGGATGGGGCTCCCAACGTGGAAAGTCGGGATCTGCCGTCGACGGAACGGGGTGCGACGCTTCAGTCTTGTCTTGCTTGACTTTCACTCAGGAATCAACGTGGTGGCAAGTTCCCTGACGAGGTTGTCAGGACAAAGAGTGTATTCCGGAACATCGCCCACATAATTCGGTAGAGGATAGATTGCTTTTCTAAGAAAGAGTGGAGGAGGCTGTCTCTGCCGTCGGCTCAGAACAGCCCCAAGCAGCTGCCAGGTGAGAAGGCAGCAGGGTTGTAGCGTGCGCAGGACTTGGCCTCTTCTAGAAACCAGCTAAATTTGGCGGTGAAAGAACACATGTCGGGAGCTTCACTCGTCCCAAAACCAAAACTCCCCGTCAAATTCGAAGGCAGACCAGGGCTGGCAGTAAGTCGTTGCAAGTTGGCAGCCTTGCTCTCCCGGCGCAGTGGTCGCAGCCAGGGAGGACGGCGCCATACGCAAAGCCCCCAGGGTCCAGTTGAACAATGGCTTCGGGTCGAGGTTTCGGGTCGCCGATCAGATCGGCTTCTGCAATTTCGGGGTTTCCGGCAGCTGACTGTCGTGCATTCAGTCCGTGCAATGCCAGGAGCAGGACTAGAGAGAGGCATTCTGGCATAAGATGCAGGCGGCTCAGCTTGAACCGATTCGGGTCAGCTGGAAATCCTGGCATCTTGCGATCTTTCCCAGCACTGACACAATTAATGTGTCGGGCAATAACACGTGGAATGTGCTGACTACATGCATTTGTCCCTGACCTCCCTCGTCTCAAATGAGCTAGCCCAGGACCGAGGCAACCAAAGCCGCAGGCTGCACGGGACGGCGCCGCTGGGAATCAAAGCTCTCGTTTGTTCGGCGTGGCATCAGACTGGGGGAGGTTGATGAGCGCCGGCGCACCGAGCCGGCTGGCCCTCGCCGGGCCTGCGGCACTAGAAGATATCTCGCACTTTCTGGCACGCATGGGCCCAAGATATGTTTCTGCCATGGGCCCAGGACAAGTGAACGCTGGCGAAGGTTAAGGACTGGCACGAACAAGACCGCCATCTGCATGCGGGACAAGCCGGCCTGGGGAGCCTCTGAGCCAACCTAAGCGCTAGCCGCACGGAAATCCCGCACACGCTCCGGGTGCTTCGATCCATCAATGCTGTTCTGAAGCTGCTGTGAATGGCCGCTTTGCGTTCGCATAGCTCCACAGCAGGGACAAGCAGCGCGTTACAGCTCTCTTGATGGCTCACAGTTCGCTGCTCTCTTACGGCACGGCCGGATGGTGGCAAGATGTGCAACAGTAGTGCAGGATCCGCAGTTTAAAGTTGCCATGCCGTGACTTTCGCATTGGAGTAGGTACTTCGGAAAGGGCATCGTCAAGGGACCCTAAGAAGTGACACAGTCTTCTCAGGATTCAAATGCACGCGGCCCAAAGGCTCGCGATGCAGACAAGTCGTATGTCCGCATCCAAGTCGCTTGGCAACCATGGAGGCTAGGAAGGGAACCGCCACGACCTGACAAGAGGGATATACTATGGGCTTAGAGGTGTAGCCGCAAAACATCGAACTTAAAGGGTCGCAAAGGAGTCCTGGGTGTCCTAAACTCCTGCCATTCTGCTACATATGATTCGGGCTTAATGCCAATCTGCAAAGGCTGCTAGGACTCGGAATGTGTTCTGGGGTATAAGGTCAGAGGCACAACGAAGGAGCCTCACACATCGCTGGCATCACTCGAACCTTCGGCGACATGGCAGAACAGATCGCAAACGCAAGCCTTTTTATTCGACACAAAAACACAACTATCCTGGCATGTGAAAATGCAGACAAAGCCAACATGATCTCCAAATCCGAAGCCTGAAAAGTATCTCTGATCCGAAAACCCCTGACGGTCCTAATCCTCAACCGCAAACCCATCTTGAAGCTTGTACATCTTTTGTACATCCTATGCCATATACCTTGAAAGCATCTATCGATCCTATGTAGCCCTATAAACCTTATTATAATCATCCACCCTATAAATCTTACTGTGATCTTCTACCTATATCTGAAAACCCCTAAGCCGTTCTGTTCATGGCATCCGCAATGTAGGGGACTTAGTACTTAGAATAGGTTTCTGGAGCATATTCTATTAAAACTACAATAAGGAACCCCCCAAATAGTCTTGGTGATTATTGAGGCCCCCCAAAAACCCTAAACCCTAAACCCTAAACCCTAAACCCATAAACCCTAAACCCAAGGGGGCCGCTCCTGGGGCGAAATTTTCGCATCTGCAGAGCACCGAGGCCCACGCTCCCAGGAAGCCGCTCTTCCACGTTCCAAAAGCCTTTTGGCGGGGGCTTAGGGTTTAGGGGTTGAGGGCTTCAGTGCGGAGGCTTTGTGGGTTTAGGGTTTAGGGGTTTAATGAGATGGTTTCAGGCGTCTAGGGGTTTTGGGGCTTAGGGTTTAGGGTTGGGTGCTACAAAGGCTTTCTCCTTGATGCAGCTCATTACAGTGTGTTTTGCACAGGTTTCTATGAGGGTCTCTATGCATTGGTTGATACGGGGGTTTCCAAAAGATCTTGACGAAACCCTAAACTCTAAACCCTAAACCCTAAACTCTAAACCCTAAAACGGCTTTGACGACTCTTTGTTTGCAGATGTTCGTGGGCTTGCAGGCTTTAGGGCTCTCTTTTTTCGCCCTTGGGACTTAAGGGATTTGGGGCGTTGGCACAGTTCTGGGTTGCGTTTGGCTTGTGGGGTTTTAACAGTTACTATTCAATGTTTCAAGCCCCTAAAAACGTATACTACAAAATTCTTCGGATTGGCAGTCATTACAATTCCGCCTACATTTAGGCCGTTGCAAAGACGTCCAAATCATGAGAACTCCAGTCAGTCTCGTGCTACTTTGCGGGTGCGTTGAAACTTTGAAACTCGCAAGTCAATCCCTCGTTAAGTTCCACCGCATGTGGTTTTTCGCGCTGGCCCACACCTGAATCCAAGTTGAATGCACTTCCGGGTGCGTATGCAAAGCAACCGCACCGGAGACGATGAAACCGTTCCCATTCCCAACACAGGTTTTGGAAGGGCCATAGGCGTCCAGTCAAGATACAGAGTGGGTTGATGGCGAAAAAACACGAAAACACCGGACTGCCGCACCTCATAGTTCATCATCAGCTGGAGATGCAGCACCGTACCAAAGGCTGCACCCTGGAAGGATGTAGGATCGACGGCTTCCGATGGGCTGCGACTACTGCGAGTGCAACTGCCACGGACATTGCTGCTATTTCGACATCGATTGCGACAAGAATGACATAGTTACCGAGGGCTCCTACATAGGCTTAGGCGTTAGGGTTCAGGGGTCTGCAAAAGGATCGGGGCATGTGTCAGCTGGGAATTCACGCAAGGTGAAGCAGCACGTCCTCTTGATTGACTCGTGAAAGACTTAAGGTTCTGTCGGCTCCCGAAAACGCTAAGAATCAAAGAAATCTGAAAGCAAGGGTGTCGTATTCAGAAGCCTTTCTGGAATGTCAGTGTTCTTCCATCCATAAGGGGCATCGTGGCAAGAGATTCGGACGAGCTGTTAAACTCAAACAAGGACTTGCTAGAGATCAGGTGCTGGTAAGCTTCAGGGTGGTAGGGTTTGGGTCTTGCTTTTGACCCCAGTCTTGCACTTCTTTTGCTTGTGACCTGTTCTCCATGGTCAGTAGTGATGCTAAGATCGCTGTGGTACCTCTTGGTTGTGGTCGTGGTAGCAGAAGAAGTAGTAGCAGCAGCAGTAGCAGTAGTAGTCGTCGTCGATGTCGTCGTCGAAGTAGTCGTAGTCGTAGTCGTAGT